GGGTCAGCAGGGAGCAGGAACCCTCCCTCCGGGCAGGAATGCGCACCGGGCCGGCCGGCAGCATTCCCAGCGGTCCTACCTTCGATGGCGATGACATGCTCCCGGATCTGGTTCTGCAGCAGCGGCTCCTCCAGCCGCTCCAGCAGCTCGTAGATGGAGTAGATGTTCGGATGGACGGACTCGAACCTCTGGATCTCAGAGCGGATGGCGGCCGAGTTGGCCACATGCAGCTGGTAGTTCATCCTGGAGGACTTCCTGCTCCTCAAATAAAGCTAGTGGCGTCAATAATCCCGGAGAAACAATAATCCCGGAGAAACAGGTTCTGGATTACATCCCTGGAGGACTGGCTCCGGGAGGCATCAGCTACAGTCCGGGGAAGGCTGCTGCTGCGGCGGCTTCCCGGGCGGCGGGGCTCCGCTGCTCCATAGCCTTCCAAGGCCGGCCTGGATGAACGGAGGCTGGGATTAAACTGGACTACCAGCGGAACCGGGACTCATTTCTACCCGGAGGAGGAGGCCTGCCGCTGCTGCTAGCTGGCTAAAGCTAACTAGCTGTAGCTTCCAGCAGGAAAACCGGGAAACGTCACCGAATTCCAGCCGGGAAAGTCGGCCTCACATCCGAGCAGAAAGCGGGATAACCTGGGAACAGCTGCGGGAACCGAGCTCTGGAACCTGGGGAGAACAATCAGTCCGCGGCGGTGCTTCGGCTCCCTCCTCCTGGGTTTGTCTCCTTCTCCGGATCAGCTCCTCGGTGCTGCGGATGAACCGGAGCGGGCGGAGGCGGCGGGAGGAGCGGGAGGTTTAGAGGAGCTCCGGCGGCTCTTAGAGGAGGATGGGATGGATGCGGGATCAGAACCCAGAACCTGGACTGGCCCGCTCCCTCCGGATGGACCCAACAGACAGATTCCCAGCCGGGATTTCCTTTAGGACGGTCAGCGATGACCAAATAAGGACATCTGGTTTGACCCTTCACAGTAAAGCACAGATTCGCGTCAAGTGATTTTCATTCGCTTTGATTCAATTTATCAAAAAATAAATAAAAATCTGAAGAGCTCAACTAAAAAATAATTCATTTAACTCACTTTATTCCAACTTTATAAATATTTATTTCTAATTACAATCAGTTTAGCTCATCTCAACTGTTTTAAATCCAATTTTATCTCAGACAACTTTACAAAAAATGTTGAATTTTACTTCATGTAAACTCAATAAGTTTCTGATAAACTCAGTTTATAGTTTAGTTTAATCCAATGTCTCATTTTTTATTTGTTTTTAGTAGTTTCAGTTGAATCCAACTCCGTTTTTTATCAAAACTTTTTTTAATTCAATCCAATTCAAATGTAAATCCAATTCAGCTTTTAATTTCAGTTTGTTTTGTTTTTTTTTGTTTTTGTTTTTTTTTATTCAGTTAATTTATCAAGGTTTAATTTAGTTGTAAAAAAAAAAAACTAATACAAATGTTCTAATTAGGTCCAGGTCCAATTAGGTCCAACTAATTCCCGCTTAACTGGTTCCATAATTAGTTTCAGATAAGATACATGACAGCTTTAGTGTAGTTTGTTTAATTTGGGTTTACTTAAGTCAGACTTTAACCATCTAAAGGAAATATATGAGCAGATTCTGTGAGGAAGGATCAAACAATAAATAGAATCAACTAGGATTAGAAAGTAATCTATTTCTATAGTAGTCCTCTATTTAAATATTATTAGTAACGAATGTTTTCTTTTTAAACTAAAGTTAAACCCGTTTTACCAACATTTAATGTGGAACTGCACGGTTTTGTTTAGTATGCTTTTACTTTGAAAGTCCGGCCCGTCGCGTTCCGGTTTTCCTGCTGCTCCAACTATAGTTATTAATACGTAGACGCTCCGATGGACGCTGGCCGACGTGCCTACAGGGCGGCCATCTTGGATCAGACCAGCTGCTTCAGAATGAGTAGGAGGCGCCTCTGATCTCATTTTAATCACATGGAAGACGAGTTAAAGATCATATTAAAATAATCAGAATACATTAAATTACCAAAACATATTTAATAAAGTTATAAGTTAGATTACAGAAATTTATTCAGATTAAACACAATTTTAACTGGATGAGATATAAAGGCAGTTATATATCAACTAAGTTTTAATATAAAAAACAAAAACAAATATACATATATTGCTTTTAGAAATCAGTGTGTTTTCAGAACTTTTCTCTGCTTCCATCCGTGCGAGGAGGTGCTTAACATGAAGTTAATGGATCATAAAAACCTAAACTAATTCCAGGCTGAGCATCCATAGGAGGAATAAAAGTCAGGCATCCTGAGAGGCAGCTCTGGAAGTTTGCTGTCAACAGAAAATCAGAATGATGTAATAAATTAGAAAATCATTTCTATCAGTCCTTCGGTCTTAAGTAGCCCCAGAAACGTTGATCTAATTAATCTGGAAATCTGTGGAAAGTTCATCAGATTCAGATTAATAGAAAACATAAAGAACCCTTTGCCTCAATCTATCTGACCGCGGCTTGGTCTGACCCAAGATGGCCGCCCTGTGAGCCTCTCACCCACTGATCTCTATTTATTCCCTGGATTGCTGATTGCCTGTTGGCAGTAAGGGGCTGAAGTGAAGCAACCGGGCGCCATATTGGTACTCCCTAGTCAGACCGGTCATAATGTGAACTTTATGTGCGCTGCAGCATCGAACAACCATGATGTTCTCATTTTCAGGGACTTAAGACTTTTTAAATAAAGATAAATTCATCAGTTTGACACAGACTGGCTTTTTCACAAAATCAGTAGATAAACTTTAACTTACCGTAGAATAAAACAATCAGCCAATCACATTGCAGAGTCATTATGAAGTCAGTGAAGTCTATAAATCAGGTAATATAACATATTATACAAATAAATCACAATAAAATGAATGTGTTGATGGAGCAGAATAATACAGATGAGCCTAAACTGATGATCAGTGGCGGATCTAGACCCAATGTACCAGGGGGCCAGGAGGGGGCCAGCATGTTTTCATGGGGGGCCCAGAAAAGCATGAAATAAAAAACATGGCAAAGGATTCAAATATATCGATAGAGCTGCATGAATGGACATTTCTATTCAATTAGGTTTAATAATAATTATATTTCTTATTAGGTCAATATACATTCATAATTTAGGAATTTTACATATTTTTCACTTAATTTAAGTTAAAATTAGCATCTTCTATGAAATCTGAATTAGAACTAAATAAAAACTGATAAATTCAGCTGTAAAAAATAGAGGATTTTTAAAATTTGTTTTGAAAAAAAATTTAGCAGATTAAAACAGGGATCCTCTCTCAGTACCACTGAAGCTATCACCTTATTGTTTTTAAATAATTAGTAAAACAGAATTTGTAAAGAAAAAAAAAAATGAAATAGATCCAAAGGATCCATCAGTAACCATGTCTGTTCCAGCTCAGATCAGCATTAGAATTTCTCTTAGATTTATGTCTTCAGTTCAGGGGCCATAAGAGGGGCCATGACATGATCTGTAGGGGCACTGGCCCCCATTGGCCCCTCTAGAACCGCCCATGCTGATGATGTACATGTAATATACATGTATTGATTACATGTATATTACATGTACTGCCACGAAATTTTACATAAAGACTGAATTACAAGTACACATTTGTTAATGTTATAGTGTTTTTCTATTCGCAAACTGTCCATGCATGGTTGATATAAATATATATATACTATATACACTCATTTTCAATCTAACATGCAATATATTTCAGCTAATTACTTTTTCAAATGAGAAATAAACCAAACTATAAAAACAACAGCATCATCCACTTAATAAAGAATTCCTACATTTCACAGTGAATAACTTTCTTTTTCCTCTACTTTCTATTAACGTTAGACCCAATGTCAGTGTCTAACTCAGTCAATGTCTTCCAGTCAGACTAATGTCTGACTAAACTATAGATCCATCGGCTATAGATGGGTTTATTGCTTAGTTCATCCACTGACTGGGAAATGACCAGTGGAACGTCTTCCTGCAGCCAGAAAACTGCTGGTTTTAGCAGCTAACTGCTGCAATGGGAGGCATTTTACTGCACGTCTCTGTGGGAGTGGGGAGTACCAAGATGGCGGACGGTGGCTTCACTTTTTTTGAACAATCAGCAATTCAGTGGATTAATAGAGATCAGTGCTCCCATGGCTCTGATAGCCATAGATTATATACTTAGACGCCTCATTGGATTTTGGCTGACGTGCCTAGAGGGCGGCCATCTTGGGTCAGACCACGGTTCAGACACCTGCTGTCAGAATGAACAGGAAGCGCCTTAGATCTCATTTTCATCACAGGAAAGAGTCAGAGATAAAATCACAATAATCTCTGACCTTTCAGAGCCCCTTAAAAGAACAAAACTAATTCTAAAAGATTACCACATTTATTCAGATTAAAAACTAATTAAACTGAGCTCAAACTGGATGAGATTTATGCAATGTTATATATTTTGCAATTAATATTAATATAAGATTATATTTTACAAATATTACATATTTATGAGATGTATTATTATTATTTAGAATTTTTAAGGATTGCTCTTTGATAATGAGTATTATGATCTATAGAGGAAATTTTGTTGTTATTTATTTTTTTAAGAATTTATTTTTATCTATTTTTTTCATTGTCAAGACTTTTTTGTCAAATCATAGTGAATGGTAAATGTATGTTGTGTCTAACTAAACTAATCAAAACTTTTTCCAAAACTCTTTTTCAAACTAATTGTTTTTTGTTTTTTATTATTTATTGATCTGTAAACATTTGTTCATTAATCAGTAAATGATATATATTTATATTTTAGAAGGTGTTTTGGTCTTTAAGTGGTTCTAACATATAAGTAGGTTTCCTGTGATTAAGATGAGATCCAAGGCGCCTCCTGTTCATCCTGTCAGCAGCTGGTCTGATCCAAGATGGCCGCTGTCTAGGCACGCTGTCGCTGCAAAGATAACCTCTGCCTTTCAAAATAAAATCAGCAGGACCTGCTCAGTTCAGGATTTATTTCTTCTGCCAACATGAATGAAAACCATCCATTAGAATAAACCCTAAATAAAGAGTTGATGACCATGAGGTCCAGCCTGGAGTCTCTGAATCTGGACCTCTTGGTCCGTCTCTACGGCGACGAAGCAGGAACCTTCTCCCCATCCAGCAGCAGGAAGTGGATGATCCCGTTCTTCTTCTTCCCGCTGCTGGCGGCCTTGATGCAGCACTCATGGTCTCCCACAGAGAAACGGGTCTCTGTGCCGTCGTCCACAAACTCCCCCTGTGGACGAGACAGGAGGGGACACAGAATCTGAGGCGTGGACGCACATCACACTATAATAAACACACCAGAGATCTCACCAGAGGAAGACGGCGGAATAGAAATTCTCACCGTTGTTTCCATTTTCTGCCCGTTGCACCAGACATCCATGGTGTCCTTCTCTGTTAAAAGACATCACAGTCCATCAGGACACGTCTACACAGGCTGAGGTTGTCCCCGGACCTCCTCTGGACTCACCCAGAACCACCCTGTAGTCCGTCCCGTCCACCTGAACCACCCAGGTCTTGGTGGTCTTGGCTCTGTTGTCGATGAACGTCTGCAGACTCTTGCCGTCGACGTTCAGAGAGTACTCGTAGGCGAAGCCGCTGACGGCCTCGATGTTAATGGCGGCCTTGGTGTTGGCGCTGCCGACAGTGAAGGTCTCCTTCCCAACCAGCTTGAACATCCAGTCCTTCCTGATCACTTCCTGCAGAGAAAAACCGCCTCACTGATCCAGTGGTCCTGGTCTGGGGGGACCGTCACCAACTTTGCTCCAAGTTTGAAGATGTTTCCCAACTATTCCCTCTAACGACCCCCCTTTCAGAGACATAGACAGGTATGGGGCATTGCAGGCTAACAAAGAAGCCAAACCACCCCCATTCCAAAGGGGGGGACCCGTTCATCTGCTTCTATTTGCATGTTTTCTAAACTAAAACCAGGCTTTGTTGGGCTGCTGGATAAAACCTGGAACTAAACGCTATTTCTGACATTTTGAATTGAAAAAGCTTCCTGGATGGAAGAGAAACGTCTTCAAACTGGGAAACAAAGTCCAGTGGATTGATTTTTAACTTTTTTGTAATGACTGTGGCCTGGATAACTTAGAATCTACACCAGGATATGTCATTGTGACTTTTACAATCACTAGCCACAGTGGCTAGTAACTAATAAACCATTAGCCACAGAGGTTAGGAACTTTTAAAACTGTTAGCCACAGTGGCTAATAACTTTTAAAACCATTAGCCACAGTGGGTAGTACCTTTTAAAACAGTTAGCCACAGTGGCTAGTAACTTTCATAACCATTAGCCACAGTGGGTAGTACCTTTTAAAACAGGTAGCCACAGTGGGTAGTACCTTTTAAAACAGTTAGCCACAGTGGCTAGTAACTTTCATAACCATTAGCCACAGTGGGTAGTACCTTTTAAAACAGTTAGCCACAGTGGCTAGTAACTTTCATAACCATTAGCCACAGTGGGTAGTACCTTTTAAAACAGGTAGCCACAGTGGGTAGTACCTTTTAAAACAGTTAGCCACAGTGGCTAGTAACTTTCATAACCATTAGCCACAGTGGGTAGTACCTTTTAAAACAGGTAGCCACAGTGGGTAGTACCTTTTAAAACAGTTAGCCACAGTGGCTAGTAACTTTTATAACCATTAGCCACAGTGGCTAGTAACTTTCATAACCATTAGCCACAGTGGCTAGTAACTTTCATAACCATTAGCCACAGTGGAAAGTAACTTTTAAAACCGTTCGCCACAGTGGCTAGTAACTTTTATAACCATTAGCCACAGTGGCTAGTAACTTTCATAACCATTAGCCACAGTGGCTAGTAACTTTCATAACCATTAGCCACAGTGGAAAGTAACTTTTAAAACCGTTCGCCACAGTGGCTAGTAACTTTTATAACCATTAGCCACAGTGGCTAGTAACTTTCATAACCGTTAGCCACAGTGGATAGTAACCTTTTAAACTATTAGCCACAGTGGCTAGTAACTTTTAAACCATTAGCTACAGTGACTAGTAGCTTTTAAAACCGTTAGCCACAGTGGGTAGTACCTTTTAAAACCGTTAGCCACAGTGGGTAGTAACTTTTAAAACCGTTAGCCACAGTGGCTAGTAACTTTCATAACCATTAGCTACAGTGACTAGTAGCTTTTAAAACCGTTAGCCACAGTGGCTAGTAACTTTTAAAACCGTTAGCCACAGTGGATAGTAACCTTTTAAACTATTAGCCACAGTGGCTAGTAACTTTTTAAACCATTAGCTACAGTGACTAGTAGCTTTTAAAACCACTAGCCACAGTGAATAGTTAGGATGACCAGACGTCCTCTTTTTCCCCCGACATGTCCTACTTTTCAGACCTAAAAAAATGTCCAGGGGGGATTTAAAAATTACGGGATTCTGGTCGATTACAGCGCATTCGAACCGAGCCGTGAGCTCCGGGGCTGGTCCGGGACACCCGGCGGCCGGTGGAGCGATCGACCCAACCCGGTGACGGTAGCCTGGACACTGGCACCTGCCTCACCGGGCACCGTGCCGGGTTCGGTCGCTCCGACCAGCCCCGGAGCTCACAGCTCAGGTCGAATGCCGGGTCCGGTTCACTTCATCCTCTCCTGGTTTACCATCTTCCTCATCTTCCTGTCCAGATCTGAATCTGGGTCCACCATCATGAATAGTAGCCTACCAGGAACGTGCAGCCACTCACTGTCCGCTGCAATACACGTGTTTAATTGGGATAATCATTTCTAAGAAGTCAAAATATTGTTCTTGAGTTTTTAATTAACAAGAAATTATATAGTTATTCTGGTAAAAATTTTTTTTTACTTATTTTCATAAAAAAAAAATTGTTACATTTTATTTCAGTATAATCTGAGAAAAAAGACAGAATTCTGACTTTATCTCATATTCAATTTAAATAATATTTAAAAATATATTTTTTATTTTTTTCAGGGGCCCTAATCCTCTTCTGTTAAAATCTGCAACAGTGTGCATAAAGAAAGCAGGAAGAAAGGAGGCTTCCCTCAGTGGTATCTGCAGATGGAGCCTGAGGGACGGCCATGATGTCCTGATGGTGTCAGCTGATCTCAGGTTCTGGATTTGATGGACAGACGGATGTTTCCTCATATCCATCTTTAATATCGATATTAATTCCCTGTCGCTGTGAATTAAATCCAGTTTAAATGTTTCCGCCTCAGACCGGACCCTCTGACCTCATGACCTTTCAGTCAGACCAAACCCCACAGAGGAGCCTCTGAATGAACCAGAACCAGAGCTCACCGTCCCGTTGACGTAAACCACCCGTTTCCCGGTGGTGGTACCGTGAGCGAACTCGATCCTGTAGACGCCGTCACTCAGAGCCACCTCCCACGCCGCCACCACGTCTCCGCCCAGCATCCTGGACGCACGGACCGGGACCCGGAGCTCCGGAAGCTGCCGAGGAGGCTGTGAGGAGCTGGAAGGATGAAGGAAAGCGGTACTGCCGCATCAGCAGGAGCTGAATTACAGTAAGAGGCTTAGAGGGAGGCCTGGGGGGGAAAGTGTGTCACCGTCTTCTGGAAAATTCTTCCTTAAAGCAACGGATTTTAATCTGATTCATCATCTGAACTATGAGGTCTGACCGAGAAGACGCTGTAAAACAGGAACTGCTGCTTCTTTCTGCCAAAAACTCCTTCATTCAGCCCCTAAAGGAGAGGTTATACTGCCCCCTGCTGGACCAAAGCTAACAGGAAATCTGCACAAATAAATTAGAAAATAAAGAGTTTAACTCTAAAATCATTGATTTCATTTCCTGGTTTATGAGTAAAATGTGAAAAATCTTGATTCAAATGAAAACATTTTCAACCATCTAAAAACTTCTTTTTAATTTTTTCCTGTAATAAATCAAGTTTAGCTAATTTATCCGCTCATTAATTGATTTATAATGCTTTAATTCTGGTTCAGTTTTTTTATTTTTATTTTTAATCATCTGATTTTTAGACATAAAAACCCAGTCTGCTAATTTCTATATTAGTTTAGTCCTTCTTTAATGTGTATAACTTATCTATGTGAACCAGAATGAATATCTGGAGATCGTTGGAAGGTGAAATTAAACAGAAAGCAGTTTTCTAACAGAATTTTATTTCTTCACATTCATGAATAATAAACAAAATCAATGCTCCGAAGTGCAAAGTGTAAAATAATAATAAGAGGAAGCTGCTCTGATTTGTTCCTTTTTCCCTTTAGAGCTGAAAACTGCTGCTGCTGCTTAGACCGGCTAGAAACAGGATTCTAGATCAGTTCAACTAGAAACAAGATCCTAGATCAGTTCAACTAGAAACATGATCCTAGATCAGTTCAACTAGAAACAAGATGATCGTAGATCGGTTCAACTAGAAACAGGATCCTAGATCAGTTCAACTAGAAACAGGATCCTAGATCGGTTCAACTAGAAACAGGATCCTAGATCAGTTCAACTAGAAACAGGATCCTAGATCGGTTCAACTAGAAACAGGATCCTAGATCGGTTCAACTAGAAACAGGATCCTAGATCAGTTCAACTAGAAACAGGATCCTAGATCGGTTCAACTAGAAACAGGATCCTAGATCGGTTCAACTAGAAACAGGATCCTAGATCGGTTCAACTAGAAACAAGATGATCGTAGATCGGTTCAACTAGAAACATGATCCTAGATCGGTAACTAGAAACATGATCCTAGATCGGTTCAACTAGAAACAAGATGATCGTAGATCGGTTCAACTAGAAACATGATCCTAGATCGGTTCAACTAGGAACAAGATGATCGTAGATCGGTTCAACTAGAAACATGATCCTAGATCGGAAACATGATCCTAGATCAGTTCAACTAGAAACATGATCCTAGATCGGTTCAACTAGAAACATGATCCTAGATCGGTTCAACTAGAAACAGGATCCTAGATCGGTTCAACTAGAAACAGGATCCTAGATCGGTTCAACTAGAAACAGGATCCTAGATCGGTTCAACTAGAAACAGGATCCTAGATCGGTTCAACTAGAAACAGGATCCTAGATCGGTTCAACTAGAAACAGGATCCTAGATCGGTAACTAGAAACATGATCCTAGATCGGTTCAATTAGAAACATTATCCTAGATCGGTTCAACTAGAAACAGGATCCTAGATCGGTTCAACTAGAAACAGGATCCTAGATCGGTTCAACTAGAAACAGGATCCTAGATCGGTTCAACTAGAAACAGGATCCTAGATCGGTTCAACTAGAAACAGGATCCTAGATCGGTTCAACTAGAAACAGGATCCTAGATCGGTTCAACTAGAAACAGGATCCTAGATCGGTAACTAGAAACAGGATCCTAGATCGGTAACTAGAAACAGGATCCTAGATCGGTTCAACTAGAAACAAGATGATCGTAGATCGGTTCAACTAGAAACATGATCCTAGATCGGTAACTAGAAACATGATCCTAGATCGGTTCAACTAGAAACAAGATGATCGTAGATCGGTTCAACTAGAAACATGATCCTAGATCGGTTCAACTAGGAACAAGATGATCGTAGATCGGTTCAACTAGAAACATGATCCTAGATCGGAAACATGATCCTAGATCAGTTCAACTAGAAACAGGATCCTAGATCGGTTCAACTAGAAACATGATCCTAGATCGGTTGAACTAGAAACAGGATCCTAGATCGGTTCAACTAGAAACAGGATCCTAGATCGGTTCAACTAGAAACAGGATCCTAGATCGGTTCAACTAGAAACAGGATCCTAGATCGGTTCAACTAGAAACAGGATCCTAGATCGGTTCAACTAGAAACAGGATCCTAGATCGGTTCAACTAGAAACAGGATCCTAGATCGGTTCAACTAGAAACAGGATCCTAGATCGGTAACTAGAAACATGATCCTAGATCGGTTCAATTAGAAACATTATCCTAGATCGGTTCAATTAGAAACATTATCCTAGATCGGTTCAACTAGAAACAGGATCCTAGATCGGTTCAACTAGAAACAGGATCCTAGATCGGTTCAACTAGAAACAGGATCCTAGATCGGTAACTAGAAACATGATCCTAGATCGGTTCAATTAGAAACATGATCCTAGATCGGTTCAACTAGAAACAGGATCCTAGATCGGTTCAACTAGAAACATGATCCTAGATCGGTAACTAGAAACAGGATCCTAGATCGGTTCAACTAGAAACAGGATCCTAGATCGGTAACTAGAAACATGATCCTAGATCGGTTCAACTAGAAACAGGATCCTAGATCGGTAACTAGAAACAGGATCCTAGATCGGTAACTAGAAACAGGATCCTAGATCGGTAACTAGAAACATGATCCTAGATCGGTTCAACTAGAAACAGGATCCTAGATCGGTTCAACTAGAAACAGGATCCTAGATCGGTTCAACTAGAAACAGGATCCTAGATCGGTTCAACTAGAAACAGGATCCTAGATCGGTTCAACTAGAAACAGGATCCTAGATTGGTTCAACTAGAAACAGGATCCTAGATCGGTTCAACTAGAAACAGGATCCTAGATCGGTAACTAGAAACAGGATCCTAGATCGGTAACTAGAAACATGATCCTAGATCGGTTCAATTAGAAACATGATCCTAGATCGGTTCAACTAGAAACAGGATCCTAGATCGGTTCAACTAGAAACAGGATCCTAGATCGGTAACTAGAAACAGGATCCTAGATCGGTAACTAGAAACATGATCCTAGATCGGTTCAACTAGAAACAAGATGATCCTAGATCGGTTCAACTAGAAACAAGATGATCCTAGATCGGTTCAACTAGAAACAAGATGATCGTAGATCGGTTCAACTAGAAACATGATTTCAGATTGGTTCAGCTGAGGGTAGAACCATGATTCTAGATTGGTTCAGTTGAGGGTAGAAGTGTGATTGTAGATAAGTTCAGGGCAGCCCAATGTAGAGACGAGTGTTTCAGAGTGACAGGAATGTGAGGAGGAGATAAATAGGTGGGAGGTTCCCAGTGGGCGGAGCCAGAGGTGTGGGCGGTCTAAAGAACGCAGCACTTCTTCTTCTTCCTGCCGCCGCTCGGCCCGTTCTTATCTTTGCTCTCAGACATCTTCTTCTTACGGACTTCCCTCATGAGGTCGAAGAACACCTGGAGGACGGAGGACAGGTGGGTGAGCGTTATTGGACGGGTCGCCCCGGGTCGGTTCCAGAACCCCCTCCCCCGCTCACCTTGTCCACGTTGGCTCTGGTCTTGGCCGACGTCTCCACGTACTGGACGCCCCACTCGGCGACTTTGCCCGCCGCCTCGTCCACGCTGACCTGCCGCTTGTCCTCCAGGTCCGACTTGTTCCCGACCAGGAGCAGCGGGACGGTCTCCTCCTCCTTCACCCGCAGGATCTGCTCCCTGCGGGCGGACACAGCAGGGGAACCCGTTAAATCAGTCCAAACAGAACCCAACAGAACCTGAAGAGCAGGAACCCGCTCTGCTTCTGATTGGCCGATCAGAACCAGGTGACCAGAAGCTCTGAGGCACCAGAATGGGACCGAACCATAGAACCAATTACAGCCTCTGGACCCCCCTGGGTCAGTCAGAACCAACAGATCCTGGTGAACTTCAATTACGACCCGTCAGGTTCTGGTTCTCCTCCTGAGGAGAAGGTTCTGTACGTGACTCAGACGTGTTCAGGACATCTAAGAGTTCCAGGATCCAGGACTGGAGTTACCCACCCCTGTTCTGGTCTGGACCTTCTGGACTGGTCTGGGTCTGGCTGAACCCGTTTCAGGCCCGCCTGCAGCTGAGGGTAGAACCATGATTCTAGATTTGATCAGCTGAGGGTAGAACCATGATTCTAGATTGGATCAGCTGAGGGTAGAACCATGATTCTAGATTTGATCAGCTGAGGGTAGAACCATGATTCCAGATTGGATCAGCTGAGGGTAGAACCATGATTCCAGATTGGATCAGCTGAGTGTAGAAACATGATTCCAGATTGGATCAGCTGAGTGTAGAAACATGATTCTAGAGTGGATCAGCTGAGGGTAGAACCATGATTCTAGAGTGGATCAGCTGAGGGTAGAACCATGATTCTAGAGTGGATCAGCTGAGGGTAGAAACATGATTCTAGAGTGGATCAGCTGAGGGTAGAACCATGATTCTAGAGTGGATCAGCTGAGGGTAGAACCATGATTCTAGAGTGGATCAGCTGAGGGTAGAAACATGATTCTAGATTGGATCAGCTGAGGGTAGAACCATGATTCTAGATTGGATCAGCTGAGGGTAGAACCATGATTCTAGAGTGGATCAGCTGAGGGTAGAACCATGATTCTAGATTGGATCAGCTGAGGGTAGAACCATGATTCTAGAGTGGATCAGCTGAGGGTAGAACCATGATTCTAGAGTGGATCAGCTGAGGGTAGAACCATGATTCCAGAGTGGATCAGCTGAGGGTAGAAAGGTGATTCTAGAGTGGATCAGCTGAGGGTAGAACCATGATTCCAGAGTGGATCAGCTGAGGGTAGAAAGGTGATTCTAGAGTGGATCAGCTGAGGGTAGAACCATGATTCCAGAGTGGATCAGCTGAGGGTAGAACCATGATTCTAGATTGGATCAGCTGAGGGTAGAACCATGATTCTAGATTGGATCAGCTGAGGGTAGAACCATGATTCTAGAGTGGATCAGCTGAGGGTAGAACCATGATTCTAGAGTGGATCAGCTGAGGGTAGAACCATGATTCTAGAGTGGATCAGCTGAGGGTAGAAAGGTGATTCTAGAGTGGATCAGCTGAGGGTAGAAAGGTGATTCCAGATTGGATCAGCTGAGGGTAGAACCATGATTCTAGATTGGATCAGCTGAGGGTAGAACCATGATTCCAGATTGGATCAGCTGAGGGTAGAACCATGATTCTAGATTGGATCAGCTGAGGGTAGAACCATGATTTTAGATTGGATCAGCTGAGGGTAGAACCATGATTCTAGAGTGGATCAGCTGAGGGTAGAACCATGATTCTAGAGTGGATCAGCTGAGGGTAGAACCATGATTCTAGATTGGATCAGCTGAGGGTAGAACCATGATTCTAGATTGGATCAGCTGAGGGTAGAACCATGATTCTAGAGTGGATCAGCTGAGGGTAGAACCATGATTCTAGAGTGGATCAGCTGAGGGTAGAAACATGATTCTAGAGTGGATCAGCTGAGGGTAGAAACATGATTCCAGATTGGATCAGCTGAGGGTAGAACCATGATTCTAGATTGGATCAGCTGAGGGTAGAACCATGATTCTAGATTGGATCAGCTGAGGGTAGAACCATGATTCTAGAGTGGATCAGCTGAGGGTAGAACCATGATTCTAGAGTGGATCAGCTGAGGGTAGAAACATGATTCTAGATTGGATCAGCTGAGGGTAGAACCATGATTTTAGAGTGGATCAGCCGAGGGTAGAACCATGATTCTAGATTGGATCAGCTGAGGGTAGAACCATGATTCCAGATTGGATCAGCTGAGGGTAGAACCATGATTCTAGAGTGGATCAGCTGAGGGTAGAACCATGATTCTAGAGTGGATCAGCTGAGGGTAGAACCATGATTCTAGATTGGATCAGCTGAGGGTAGAACCATGATTCTAGAGTGGATCAGAGGGTAGAACCATGATTCTAGAGTGGATCAGCTGAGGGTAGAACCGTGATTCCAGAGTGGATCAGCTGAGGGTAGAACCATGATTCCAGATTGGATCAGCTGAGGGTAGAACCATGATTCTAGATTGGATCAGCTGAGGGTAGAACCATGATTCTAGATTGGATCAGCTGAGGGTAGAACCATGATTCTAGATTGGATCAGCTGAGGGTAGAACCATGATTCTAGATTGGATCAGCTGAGGGTAGAACCATGATTCTAGATTTGATCCTCTGAGGGTAGAACCATGATTCCAGATTGGATCAGCTGAGGGAAGAACCATGATTCCAGATTGGATCAGCTGAGTGTAGAAACATGATTCCAGATTGGATCAGCTGAGGGTAGAACCATGATTCTAGAGTGGATCAGCTGAGGGTAGAACCATGATTCTAGATTGGATCAGCTGAGGGTAGAACCATGATTCTAGATTGGATCAGCTGAGGGTAGAACCATGATTCTAGAGTGGATCAGCTGAGGGTAGAACCATGATTCTAGAGTGGATCAGCTGAGGGTAGAACCATGATTCTAGATTGGATCAGCTGAGGGTAGAACCATGATTCTAGAGTGGATCAGCTGAGGGTAGAACCGTGATTCCAGAGTGGATCAGCTGAGGGTAGAAAGGTGATTCTAGAGTGGATCAGCTGAGGGTAGAACCATGATTCCAGAGTGGATCAGCTGAGGGTAGAAAGGTGATTCTAGAGTGGATCAGCTGAGGGTAGAACCATGATTCCAGAGTGGATCAGCTGAGGGTAGAACCATGATTCTAGATTGGATCAGCTGAGGGTAGAACCATGATTCTAGAGTGGATCAGCTGAGGGTAGAACCATGATTCCAGATTGGATCAGCTGAGGGTAGAACCATGATTCTAGATTGGATCAGCTGAGGGTAGAACCATGATTTTAGATTGGATCAGCTGAGGGTAGAACCATGATTCTAGAGTGGATCAGCTGAGGGTAGAACCATGATTTTAGATTGGATCAGCTGAGGGTAGAACCATGATTCCAGATTGGATCAGCTGAGGGTAGAACCATGATTCTAGATTGGATCAGCTGAGGGTAGAACCATGATTTTAGATTGGATCAGCTGAGGGTAGAACCATGATTCTAGAGTGGATCAGCTGAGGGTAGAACCATGATTCTAGATTGGATCAGCTGAGGGTAAAACCATGATTCTAGAGTGGATCAGCTGAGGGTAGAACCATGATTCTAGAGTGGATCAGCTGAGGGTAGAACCATGATTCTAGAGTGGATCAGCTGAGGGTAGAACCATGATTCCAGAGTGGATCAGCTGAGGGTAGAAAGGTGATTCTAGAGTGGATCAGCTGAGGGTAGAACCATGATTCCAGAGTGGATCAGCTGAGGGTAGAAAGGTGATTCTAGAGTGGATCAGCTGAGGGTAGAACCATGATTCCAGAGTGGATCAGCTGAGTGTAGAAACATGATTCCAGATTGGATCAGCTGAGGGTAGAACCATGATTCTAGAGTGGATCAGCTGAGGGTAGAACCATGATTCTAGAGTGGATCAGCTGAGGGTAGAAAGGTGATTCTAGAGTGGATCAGCTGAGGGTAGAAAGGTGATTCCAGATTGGATCAGCTGAGGGTAGAACCATGATTCTAGATTGGATCAGCTGAGGGTAGAACCATGATTTTAGATTGGATCAGCTGAGGGTAGAACCATGATTCCAGATTGGATCAGCTGAGGGTAGAACCATGATTCTAGATTGGATCAGCTGAGGGTAGAACCATGATTTTAGATTGGATCAGCTGAGGGTAGAACCATGACTCTAGAGTGGATCAGCTGAGGGTAGAACCATGATTCTAGAGTGGATCAGCTGAGGGTAGAACCATGATTCTAGAGTGGATCAGCTGAGGGTAGAACCATGATTCTAGAGTGGATCAGCTGAGGGTAGAAACATGATTCTAGAGTGGATCAGCTGAGGGTAGAAACATGATTCTAGATTGGATCAGCTGAGGGTAGAAAGGTGATTCCAGATTGGATCAGCTGAGGGTAGAACCATGATTCTAGATTGGATCAGCTGAGGGTAGAACCATGATTCTAGATTGGATCAGCTGAGGGTAGAACCATGATTCCACATTGGATCAGCTGAGGGTAGAACCATGATTCTAGAGTGGATCAGCTGAGGGTAGAACCATGATTCTAGAGTGGATCAGCTGAGGGTAGAAACATGATTCTAGATTGGATCAGCTGAGGGTAGAACCATGATTCTAGAGTGGATCAGCTGAGGGTAGAACCATGATTCTAGATTGGATCAGCTGAGGGTAGAACCATGATTCCAGATTGGATCAGCTGAGGGTAGAACCATGATTCTAGAGTGGATCAGCTGAGGGTAGAACCATGATTCTAGATTGGATCAGCTGAGGGTAGAACCATGATTCTAGATTGGATCAGCTGAGGGTAGAACCGTGATTCTAGAGTGGATCAGCTGAGGGTAGAACCGTGATTCTAGAGTGGATCAGCTGAGGGTAGAACCATGATTCTAGAGTGGATCAGCTGAGGGTAGAACCATGATTCTAGATTGGATCAGCTGAGGGTAGAACCATAATTCTAGATTGGATCAGCTGAGGGTAGAACCATGATTCTAGATTGGATCAGCTGAGGGTAGAACCATGATTCTAGATTGGATCAGCTGAGGGTAGAACCATGATTCCAGATTGGATCAGCTGAGGGTAGAACCATGATTCTAGAGTGGATCAGCTGAGGGTAGAACCATGATTCTAGAGTGGATCAGCTGAGGGTAGAACCATGATTCTAGATTGGATCAGCTGAGGGTAGAACCATGATTCTAGAGTGGATCAGCTGAGGGTAGAACCATGATTCTAGATTGGATCAGCTGAGGGTAGAACCATGATTCCAGATTGGATCAGCTGAGGGTAGAACCATGATTCTAGAGTGGATCAGCTGAGGGTAGAACCATGATTCTAGAGTGGATCAGCTGAGGGTAGAACCATGATTCTAGATTGGATCAGCTGAGGGTAGAACCATGATTCCAGATTGGATCAGCTGAGGGTAGAACCATGATTCTAGAGTGGATCAGCTGAGGGTAGAACCATGATTCTAGAGTGGATCAGCTGAGGGTAGAAACATGATTCTAGATTGGATCAGCTGAGGGTAGAACCATGATTCTAGATTGGATCAGCTGAGGGTAGAACCATGATTCTAGAGTGGATCAGCTGAGGGTAGAACCATGATTCTAGAGTGGATCAGCTGAGGGTAGAACCATGATTCTAGAGTGGATCAGCTGAGGGTAGAACCATGATTCTAGATTGGATCAGCTGAGGGTAGAACCATGATTCTAGAGTGGATCAGCTGAGGGTAGAACCATGATTCTAGAGTGGATCAGCTGAGGGTAGAACCATGATTCTAGATTGGATCAGCTGAGGGTAGAACCATGATTCTAGAGTGGATCAGCTGAGGGTAGAACCATGATTCTAGAGTGGATCAGCTGAGGGTAGAACCATGATTCTAGAGTGGATCAGCTGAGGGTAGAACCATGATTCTAGAGTGGATCAGCTGAGGGTAGAACCATGATTCTAGAGTGGATCAGCTGAGGGTAGAACCATGATTCTAGAGTGGATCAGCTGAGGGTAGAACCATGATTCTAGATTGGATCAGCTGAGGGTAGAACCATGATTCTAGAGTGGATCAGCTGAGGGTAGAACCATGATTCTAGAGTGGATCAGCTGAGGGTAGAACCATGATTCTAGAGTGGATCAGCTGAGGGTAGAACCATGATTCTAGAGTGGATCAGCTGAGGGTAGAACCATGATTCTAGAGTGGATCAGCTGAGGGTAGAACCATGATTCTAGAGTGGATCAGCTGAGGGTAGAACCATGATTCTAGAGTGGATCAGCTGAGGGTAGAACCATGATTCTAGATTGGATCAGCTGAGGGTAGAACCATGATTCTAGAGTGGATCAGCTGAGGGTAGAACCATGATTCTAGAGTGGATCAGCTGAGGGTAGAACCATGATTCTAGAGTGGATCAGCTGAGGGTAGAACCATGATTCTAGAGTGGATCAGCTGAGGGTAGAACCATGATTCTAGAGTGGATCAGCTGAGGGTAGAACCATGATTCTAGAGTGGATCAGCTGAGGGTAGAACCATCAGCTGAAGCGTGCAGTGCTGGTTGTGAAGCGGACCTGAGTTCTGAGGTGGCGGTGAAGGACTCGTGTTCCGTGATGGAGAAGACCAGCAGGAATCCCTCGCCGCTGCGGAAGTAGTTGTCCCTGATGGCGGCGTAGTCCTCCTGTCCCGCCGTGTCCAGGATGTCGATCTGGACGTCCTCGCCGTCCAGAACCACCTTCTTCCTGTAGCTGTCGGCCTTGGTGGGCTCGTAGTCCTCCACGAACTGCAGACAGAGAGGTGAGGGGAGGCCAGGGAGCACAGAGGCATTATGGGAAACGGAGTCCACCTGGAGACTCACCTCATCGTACATGAACTGCAGGGTTAGCGCCGACTTCCCCACGCCGCCGCTGCCCACCATGATCACCTTGTGGAGGACCAGGGAGGTCTGGTTCTTGTTCTTGCCAGAGGACATGGCTCTGGTCCGGGTCGGGTCGGGGCCTCACAGCTCTGACCCGGGTTCTGGAGGTCCTGATGGAACAGAAGCAGATGTGGTTTCCAGCTGCAGCTCAACGGGTCAAATGGACCCGATCGGTTCTGATCTTATGACCCAAACATCTCCTCATGGCGCCGGTTCTGAAACCCTTTATTTACCTCCTCTGGCAGGTTTCTCCTCCTGAAGGTTCAGATGTTCGTTGGTTCTGGCAGAACGAACCCAAACAGGTCGGCTTCAACAGCTGAGGAAGGAAAGAGATCATCAAAAGTTCTGATCCGGCTCAGACACTAACAGAACCGTCTGGAGGAGGTTCTGCTGCAGTGAATAGAACCTCCTGGATGGTCAGAGCCGCCGGGGCAGAGCTAGTTCATCAGGACCTATTAGAACCTGTGGGACGGGATCTGGACCATCAGGACTTTTTTTTTTTAATCCACAGGTTCTAGTAAAGGTTCTGGTAGCTTGGTTCTGATCCGGTCTGACCCCGGATGATCTATGACATGGAGGTTCTGTGGAATGACCCACTTGACATTATCAGTGGTGTCAGAGTGGGCAGGTGTCAGTGAAGAAGAACAGAACCATGCGGACTGGAACCATCAGAACAGAACCATCAGAACAGAACCATCAGAACAGGAACCATCATAACAGAACCAGCAGAAAAGAACCATCAGAACAGGAACCATCAGAACAGAACAAGCAGGGCAGTTGGACCTGAAGCAGGAACCATCAGAACAGGAACCATCAGAACAGAACCAGTAGGGCTGGAACCATCAGAACAGAACCTTGAGAACAGGAACCACCAGAACAGGAACCATCACAACAGAACTAGCAGAACAGGAACCATGAGAACAAGAACCATCAGAACCGAACAATCAGGGCTGGAACCATCAGAACAGAACCATCAGAACAGAACCAGTAGGGTAGGAACCATCACAACAGAACCATCATAAGTGGAACCATGAGAACAGGGACCATCAGAACAGAACCACCAGAACAGGAACCATCAGAACAGGAACCATCAGAACAGAACAAGTAGGGCTGGAACCATCAGAACAGAACCTTGAGAACAGGAACCACCAGAACAGGAACCATCAGAACAGAACCTTGAGAACAGGAACCACCAGAACAGGAACCATCAGAACAGAACAAGCAGGGCAGTTGGACCTGAAGCAAGAACCACCAGAACAGGAACCATCAGAACAGAACCATCAGAACAAGAACCAGCAGGGCAGTTGGACCTGAAGCAGGAACCACCAGAACAGGAACCATCAGAACAGAACCATCAGAACAAGAACCAGCAGGGCAGTTGGACCTGAAGCAAGAACCATCAGAACAAAACCATCAGGACTGGAACCATCATAACAGAACCATCATAAGTGGAACCATGAGAACAGGGACCATCAGAACAGGAACCATCAGAACAGAACAAGCAGGGCAGTTGGACCTGAAGCAGGAACCATCAGAACAGGAACCATTAGAACAGAACCAGTAGGGCTGGAACCATCAGAACAGAACCTTGAGAACAGGAACCACCAGAACAGGAACCATCAGAACAGAACTAGCAGAACAGGAACCATGAGAACAAGAACCATCAGAACCGAACAATCAGGGCTGGAACCATCAGAACAGAACCAGTAGGGTAGGAACCATCACAACAGAACCATCATAAGTGGAACCATGAGAACAGGGACCATCAGAACAGAACCACCAGAACAGGAACCATCAGAACAGGAACCATCAGAAGAGAACAAGCAAGGCAATTGGACCTGAAGCAGGAACCATCAGAACAGGAACCATCAGAACAGAACAAGTAGGGCTGGAACCATCAGAACAGAACCTTGAGAACAGGAACCACCAGAACAGGAACCATCAGAACAGAACAAGCAGGGCAGTTGGACCTGAAGCAGGAACCACCAGAACAGGAACCATCAGAACAGAACCAGCAGAACAAGAACCAGCAGGGCAGTTGGACCTGAAGCAAGAACCATCAGAACAAAACAATCAGGACTGGAACCATCATAACAGAACCAGCAGAAAAGAACCATCAGAACAGAACCAGCAGAACAGGAACCATCAGAACAGGAACCATCAGAACAGAACAAGCAGGGCAGTTGGACCTGAAGCAGGAACCATCAGAACAGGAACCATCAGAACAGAACCAGTAGGGCTGGAACCATCAGAACAGAACCTTGAGAACAGGAACCATCAGAACAGAACTAGCAGAACAGGAACCATGAGAACAAGAACCATCAGAACCGAACAATCAGAGTTGTAACCATCAGAACAGAACCATAAGAACAGGAACCATCAGAACAGAACCAGTAGGGTAGGAACCATCACAACAGAACCATCATAAGTGGAACCATGAGAACAGGGACCATCAGAACAGAACCACCAGAACAGGAACCATCAGAACAGGAACCATCAGAAGAGAACAAGCAAGGCAGTTGGACCTGAAGCAGGAACCATCAGAACAGGAACCATCAGAACAGAACAAGTAGGGCTGGAACCATCAGAACAGAACCTTGAGAACAGGAACCACCAGAACAGGAACCATCAGAACAGAACAAGCAGGGCAGTTGGACCTGAAGCAGGAACCACCAGAACAGGAACCATCAGAACAGAACCAGCAGAACAAGAACCAGCAGGGCAGTTGGACCTGAAGCAAGAACCATCAGAACAAAACCATCAGGACTGGAACCATCATAACAGAACCAGCAGAAAAGAACCATCAGAACAGAACCAGCAGAACAGGAACCATCAGAACAGAACCAGTAGGGTAGGAACCATCACAACAGAACCATCATAAGTGGAACCATGAGAACAGGGACCATTAGAACAGAACCACCAGAACAGGAACCATCAGAACAGGAACCATCAGAACAGAACAAGCAGGGCAGTTGGACCTGAAGCAGGAACCATCAGAACAGGAACCATCAGAACAGAACCAGTAGGGCTGGAACCATCAGAACAGAACCTTGAGAACAGGAACCATCAGAACAGAACTAGCAGAACAGGAACCATGAGAACAAGAACCATCAGAACCGAACAATCAGGGCTGTAACCATCAGAACAGAACCATAAGAACAGGAACCATCAGAACAGAACCAGTAGGGTAGGAACCATCACAACAGAACCATCATAAGTGGAACCATGAGAACAGGGACCATCAGAACAGAACCACCAGAACAGGAACCATCAGAACAGGAACCATCAGAAGAGAACAAGCAAGGCAGTTGGACCTGAAGCAGGAACCATCAGAACAGGAACCATCAGAACAGAACAAGTAGGGCTGGAACCATCAGAACAGAACCTTGAGAACAGGAACCACCAGAACAGGAACCATCAGAACAGAACAAGCAGGGCAGTTGGACCTGAAGCAGGAACCACCAGAACAGGAACCATCAGAACAGAACTAGCAGGGCAGTTGGACCTGAAGCAGGAACCATCGGTCTCTCTATCGATGCTTAGCTTCCTCTCTGAGCCGCCAGCTGACAGCTGAAAACCTGTTTCTACAAGATACTAAAAATTCTGCCCAAAGCTCCCGCCTTCAGCTCCAGCGGCGCCTCTGATTGGCTCAGACTGCCAGCGGAACTTCCTCCGGAGGCTCCTATTGGCTGCCTCCCCTGTCAATCAGCTCCCGGTGGTGGCTAGTCAGTTAAGCAGCAACAGATAACGCTTCTCCCCTCAGGGGACGTCAGGGAAAACGCTCCGTTAAACGCCTCTTTCTGCGGTACCGACAGCCGGGGAGGTGACCGGAACGAACCGGAGAAGCTCGGCTAACTCACCTGCTGACGCGTTTCTCTCCCGTCCGCTCAGAAATCCGCCTCAGAAAACTTTTCCAAGTTGGTCATCAGACAGAGCGCCCCACCTTTACCCGGACCTGCACAGATTGTCTATTGCAGTGAAGATGAGTCCTCTGAGGGAAGAATGTGGCCGAGGGAGGTTTCCGACTCTGATCACTGTGGCAACAAACAATAACTGCTCTCCCTGATACAGACCGACATTCCTCAAAACTTTGTTTGAACCACTGAAATAAAAATAAAAAAAGGACTAACAATCAGTTTTTACACGTTCAGGAACAACAATTCAAACTGTAGCGAGACATCTTCTACCATTACTCATCTTCGACAGACGCTGATAACATTAACAGGAAGTGACGCCACGGAATTCCTCTTCTTCAAAAAGCAGTGGAGCGTAACCGAAACCACACAACATGCAAATAAAATGATAACTATGCAAAATTAGCGTTAAACAGGAAAAATAATTAAACATAAAATAAATTAAAACGGGGGAAAAAATCCCAATAAAAAATAGCCTTTATTTTATTGCTTCATTCGGGTTTTATTTTGTACGTTTAAACAGATATGTCTATGCATCTATTTATACAAAAGTTTTTTAAATAAAATAAATATTAATTTAAATATATATAAAGTCAAGCCAAACCAACTTAAATAGAATTAATTAATTTATTAATTTAATCAAATTAAAACACTTTGATTTATATATAAATTCAATTAAAATACGAAAATTAAAAGTAAAATTGCATAAACAAATATTACAAAAATGTCTATATTTTTTTTCTGAAAAAAAAAATAAAAAAAAAAAAAAAATATATATATATATATATATATATATATATATATATATATATATATATATATATATATATATATATATATATATATATATATATATATATATATATATATATATGTGTGTGTGGGGGGGGCATGGGATCAGAGATTGCATGAATGATTGAAGCCTAAATTTGACTTTTGAAACTTCAACACCAAAATCGGCCAGAAGATGGCAGAAGTGCATCAATATCTTGTGTGTAACTCGTATACAGCTATATCTACTGGAACATCAGCTGTTGCCGTAGCTCAACCCAATTCTATTCAGTTTATTTCTATAGCTCCAATTCACATCATGTCATCTCAGGTCACTTTCCAGTTCACCAGATCATCCAGTCAGATTGATTCAAAGTTTTCTATCTAAGGAAAACCAGCTGATTGCATCAACTCATTGACTCTTCAGCAATCCCTCACACTAAGCATGCTTGTAGCGACAGTGGAGAGGAAAAACTCCCTTTGAACAGGAAGAAACCTCCAGCAGAACCAGGCTCAGTGTGAGCGGCCATCTGCTGAGGCCCACTGGGGTTCAAGGAGACAGAAGCAGACATAGAAAAAGAAGCATAGATACAAAAGGCAACTGTCAACCAGCTGTGGTACGCCATATCTCTAGAGCTTGAGGAAGATTTATCATTAAGCAAACTGAAAACAATCTATAATTGACCAACTCTCAACCTGGTTCAGATTATATGGCTACCTCAGATGCTTCCTCACCTTCTAGAGATAAACCAATCGCGGATAGAGGAGTGCTATTGATCTTATTTTTAATAAGATCAATCTTATTTATAAAGAATCCCATAAAATCATTGCTGCTAAGAGCAGGTGGAATGGACGGTTCAACAGAGCTATGGCTCTGGGTGAGTTTGGCAACTGTATTAAAAAGAAATCTAGGATTATTCTTATTCTCCTCTATTAATGAGGAGAAGTATGCTGCTATTGCTTTACAAAGGGTCCTCTTATACAGCAGTAAACCATTTTTCCAGACTTGGAAGGACTCCCGCAGGCCTGTGGAGCGATATTTTCTCTCCAGTTTCCTAGCATTTTGCTTCAAAGTACGCAGCTCTGCATTAAACCAAGGAGCAAGCTTTCTATTTTTAACGGTTTTCTTTTTCAAAGGAGCTGCGTTGTCTAAGGCAATACGCAGAGAACTAGCAACCCCATCAACAAAATCATCAACCTGTGAAGGGGAATAAGCTAAGCTTTTGCACTCTGCAGCACTGCTCAGCGACACAGAGGAGAGAGAAAGTGAAGCAGATTCTTTGAAATTTATAACTGCACTATCTGATAAAGATCTACTAAAATTGAACCTTCTTTTGGGGGAGGAGAACTCTGTTAAAGTAATCCTGAAGGTTATTAGAAAGTGGTCAGAGAGGACAGGGTTGTGAGGAAATACTGTTATTTCTTCACATTCTATGCCGTATGTCAGCACAAGATACAAAGTATGAAGATGAGAATGCGTGGGACTATTCACATTTTGAACAAAGCCAATAGTGTCTAAGATAGCATTAAAGGCTGCTCTTAAGCTATCGCCTTCAATGTCAGCATGGATGTTAAAATCTCCCACTATGATGACCCTGTCAGTATTTAATACCAAATCAGAAAGAAACTCTTGGATCAGGGAAATTAAGGGTTAAATGTTCAAAGAGTTGTAGGTATTAACTGTTTTGGGAGTAATCAGTAAGTCAGACTGGAAGATTGTTGCTACTCCTCCTCCTCGCCCAGAACTTCTGGGGATGTGAAAATGTAAATAGCTTGAAGGAGTTGCCTCATTTATGCTCACATAATCCTCTTGCTGCAGCCAGGTTTCTGTAAGGCAACACAAGTCAATGTGATTATCACAAATCAAGTCATTAACTAGTAGACTTTTAGAGGAAAGAGATCTTATGTTAAACAGTCACAGAATTATAATTTTAATCAGATTATCATGATTTACTCCGGGTCTGTCCAATGGGCTGTCAGGGTTTTGGAGGACTAATAAATTAAAATGGAGGATCTTCTGAAATGATTGAACCAGAACAGCTCCTCAAAGCAGGCTCCAGGTTGTAGTTCCAGATAACGGACAATAGATGGAGTCATTTCCCTCCCTGATCAAACCTCCAGGTTCCTCCAGCTGAAGCATCGCAGGGAGAGGAAAAACAAACCCAGAGCTGTTTGCATGCCGCTCCGGGTTATAATAACCACTGCGCGGAAGGTCGGAGGTTAAAGCAGCTTGATTTGGTTCACAGTTTTCACTAACAAATGTCTGGATGGCTCCAGCGCTCCCATTGGAACCAGCTGGATCATTTGACTGCCAGGACAACACTCATTTGGATGAGCTCTGGACTTCATTTTCCTGATTTTATTGGTGCTTTTAGAGAATTAACTGTGAGAAATAACAGCCCAGAGAACAGTTTGAGCCTAACCATCTGTTTTAAGATCAATAAAGCAGATTTTATTCACATTTTCTTCCTTTTCTGGCTCTAAATTTGAAGATCTGATAAAAATCCGAAGGGTAGATGTGAATATGTCAGGGCTTTAACCCTGAAATATTCCTAATTGTAATTGACTACATGCAATAATGGGTAAGGTGGAGGCAGAATCATGCTGTGGGGAAGTCAGGAAACCAACGACCTCCACAGTTCTCTGAATTCATCTTTGTAAAATGATTTTCCATCTGCTGTGCCCTGCTTGATCTGGGCAGCCTGGGTGAATTAAACCTCACCATAGCATGATGCTGCCACTACCATGCCCCACCGGCGTCATGTCTTGGTTTTCTAAAACTCAGCGTGTTGGTCAACATGGAAAAGTTCAGGGAGACTGAAATGCCTTTTTCTGGACACCAGAAGCGGAGGAAGAGGAGCTGCAGCTCAGTGATCTCTCTCTCTCCTCTGATTGGCCCCGCCCTCTCACCCCGGACCCCCCCCCCTCCTCCCCCCTCAGCTGTATATAAAAGTTTTCAGTTTGGTGAGTCTCCAGTTTTACGCACGCCAGGATGGAAAGCTTCCTCTGTGCGCTCCCCGCTCTTCCTCCTGTCCCCGTTGACGCTCCTCTCCGCAGCAGCTGCAGCCCGCAGGTCTCCACCGGATCCAACCCGAACATCTAGAGGCTCCTCTTTGGTTCTGACCTGGAAGGATGCTGCGGCAGGACGCGGCTCCGCTGCCCGTGAGGAATATGTTGACAGGACACCTGGAGGTGGGCTCAGGCTGACTTCAGAGCCAGAATCAGATCGGATCCACTTTCTGCTCGTTTCTGGAGGATCTCTGCTGGGATGTAATTTAAACTAGAGGCCACATCTGAGAGACGAGCCGCATCAGTGCGTCAGAGCGCATGGATCACTGATTCCCTCCTCTGGTTCCACTCACTCAGAAAATGACTAACTGTCTCCTGCGACTGGCTCTGCTCGTGGTTTGCGTCCTCTCCACCCGCTGCAGCGCCGCGCCGGAGGCCGAGGCCGGGGCGCACCCGGAGTCCTGCGCGTCCTGCGCCGCCTCCGCTCAGCTGGAGGACCCGGAGTCCGCGCGCGTGGACGGAGACTTCCTGGAGGCGGTGAAGAGGCACATCCTGAGCCGGCTGCAGCTGCGCGAGCGGCCCAACATCACGCACCCGCTGCCCAGGGCTGCCATGGTGACGGCGCTGCGCAAGCTGCACGCGGGGAAGCTGCGCGAGGACGGACGGGTGGAGATCCCCAACCTGGACGGACACCCGATGAGCAACGAGGTTCTGGAGGAGAGCTCCGAGATCATCAGCTTTGCGGAGAAAGGTCAGCTCAGGTTTCCGGGTTCGGTCCGCGGCTCGGGGCGCCGGATCGCTCCGAGCCGGTTTGTTGTGTCTGAGACAAAGAGGATTAGAGCAGGATTTTAATCCCAAACACTGGCTGGATGCTGCTTCCACTGGGAGGCTGGATCTCAGCCACCAGAAGCTGGTAAACCAGGAGCAGAAGAGTCCAAACAGGACAGATCTGGAACCAGATTTAAATGATTTAAATGCAAAACACTGAGAGGAAAACAGACGGAAGAGATCAGGGCCGCTGAAAAAATAAAAACAAGTTAACTGATTAAATCTGGTTTCACTACAATGAGGGAGAAAAGTCTGAATTCTGACTTTTTTTCTCAGAATTCTGATTTTTGTCCATATTATACTAAAATAAAATATAAAAATCAGTTAATTTATTTTTTTTATTGCCCTAATCCTCCTCTGTACTACAATGTTTCCTTCATGGTCAGAATTCTAAGAATAAAGTGAGAAAAAATTCTTAGATTAAAGTCGGACTTTAGAGATTAAAGTGAGAAAAAAAGTCAGAATTTTGTTTTTTTCCCTGCATATTATCCTGAAATAGAATTTAAAAATCAGTTAACTTTTATTTTATTTTTCCAGTGGCCCTAATCCCGGCTTTACAAAGCTGGATATTTGATTACATTCCGGTTTTGGTTACTCTGAGGACAGGTAAATCAGGAAATGGAAAATTGTTTATTTTTGGATCAAGTTTTCTGGGAATTTCTGTGGAGCAGCTTTTTGCATTTAGAGTCTTTAAACAAAATAATCAGGATAGTGACAGAAAAAAATCGCTTTATCCAAAGGAATCACATTCATGCGGGTTTTTCTTTAGGATAAAAGCTTTTCTTATGCTGCAGAAGAAGCGATTTAGATTCAGGAGACGAATCAACAAGCGTCTGAAATGTTAGTTTGAAGGCCTGTTGTTCAGGATCATGAATCAGAGCCAGATTCCCATAGGCTCTGTGACGCTCCAAGGCTCTCAGCTCCTGTTAAACATCAGTTTACTGATTTAAACTCCTGAATTTGTTAGAAATCCATCAGCAGCTTTGGTTTAAATCTCAGCTTCAGTGAGTATAGATCTGCTGCTATAGGCTTAGACTGCTGGAGGACATAGGGACCCCTTTTTCATCATTCTATCTCTATTCTCCCACTCTGCAGAATCTGTTAGTTCTATCTCTAACGTTCTCTGCCCCCCCCCCGGCTCATGGAAGGAAGCTGCTAACTTGTCCCTGCAGCTCCTCTCTTGCTGCAGTCTGCTGCCTGCTGGAGGCCTTTTCAGCCTCAGATGTTTCTCTCTGTGGACCTCTCCACCTCCAAGGAGGGCCGGCCAACTGGCAGCCTGACTCTGAGCGGCTGCCAGCAGGTCGATCTGGGGACGGGCCGCGGTTTCTGCCTGAAGAGGCTTGAAATGATCAGCAGCAGCACCTGCTTGGGTCTCCTCCATCCCCGCTGAAGGCTCTGAGCCGGTCTGTGAACCGGGCCCGTTTTGTTTTAGGTTGCTGTGCCGCCTGAATGCAGAGTGACGGGGGGGGGGGGGGGGGGGGGGGGGGGGGGGGGGGGGGGGGGGGGGGGGGTAGTGGCCCACAGTCTCAGTCAGGAAAAACATCTCTGCTTTGATGCACGTGGCCAAAAAGAAAAGAAATCTGGTTAAAAACGAGGGAAAAAACTTTTGTTGGAGTCGTTTCTCTGGCCGTCGTCATGGAAACGTTGCCTCATTCAGCTGAAATAACCTCAGCCTCTGCTTCAACCAAATATTAAAGACCTTTTTTTCATCTTAGTTAAAAAGAGCAGAACTTCAGCCGATCCTGGTCTCTGAGCAGCTCTGACCTCAGATCGTCTCCTTTTCTGCTGCAGCCTCAACATAAAATGTTATTTATCAGCTGATTTTCATAAACAAACAGCATATAAATACTCAGCTGAACATTGTTTCTCATTAAATGCCAGATTCTTTGGTTTAAAAACTGATTTATTTCTAACTTAATTTTAAGATAAAGTTGTTTGAATTTGATGTAACAGCAGATAAATAAAACTAGAGATTAATCCTCCTAAAGCGATCAATCTTTAAAGTTCTGAGAGGAGGAGCTCCACCACCAGAAGGTTCAGATGTTGCTTCAGTAGAGGAGCTGCATGCATGTTAAAGAGACAGCAGGAGGCTTCAGGAGTGAAGGAGGTGCCAGGTGTGTTTCTGCACCTGCAGCTGAGCTGCTCTCTGACGGTCTGCCTGTCGACTCACTGAGGCGTGAGCAGGTCTGACCCTCAAACATCTGGGTTCTGTTGCAACCTGCAGCGGGCTTCCTGGAGGCTCCGGCTGGTTCTGGGAAGGCGGGTCGATCTCTGAGGAGCTGCTGCTGGTTGGATCACCAGGAGTTCAGGAGGTTCAGACCCGGAGAACGACTCCTGATCAGCTGACAGCTGTCAGTCATGAGCTTCACCTACAGCGGCGCTGACTCTCACCTCCTCATCTCCTCTCAACTCCTCTCACCTCCTCATCTCCTCTCAACTCCTCTCCGCTCCTCTCAGCTCTTCTTAGCTCCTCTCACCTCCTCATCTCCTCTCAACTCCTCTCCGCTCCTCTCAGCTCTTCTTAGCTCCTCTCAGCTCCTCTCAGCTCCTCTCAGCTCCTCTCAGCTCTTCTTAGCTCCTCTCAGCTCTTCTTAGCTCCTCTCAGCTCCTCTCAGCTCTTCTTAGCTCCTCTCAGCTCCTCTCACCTCCTCTCAGCTCCTCTCAGCTCCTCTCACCTCCTCAACTCCTCTCAACTCCTCTCCGCTCCTCTCAGCTCTTCTTAGCTCCTCTCCGCTCCTCTCAGCTCCTCTCAACTCCTCAGCTCCTCTCAGCTCCTCTCAGCTCTTCTTAGCTCCTCTCACCTCCTCAGCTCCTCTCAACTCCTCAGCTCCTCTCAGCTCCTCTCCGTTCCTTAGCTCCTCAGCTCCTCTAAGTTCCTCTCCGCTCTTCTCAGCTCCTCTCAGCTCTTCTTAGCTCCTCTCACCTCCTCAGCTCCTCTCAGCTCCTCTCAGCTCCACTCAGCTCCTCTCAGCTCCTCTCAGCTCCTCTCAGCTCTTCTCTTAGCTCCTCTCAGCTCCTCTCAGCTCCTCTCAGCTCCTCTCAGCTCCTCTCAGCTCTTCTCTTAGCTCCTCTCAGCTCCTCTCAGCTCCTCTCACCTCCTCAACTCCTCTCAGCTCTTCTCTTAGCTCCTCTCAGCTCCTCTCAGCTCCTCTCACCTCCTCAACTCCTCTCAACTCCTCTCCGCTCCTCTCAGCTCCTCTAAGTTCCTCTCAGCTCCTCTCAGCTCCTCTCAGCTCCTCTAAGTTCCTCTCCGCTCTTCTCAGCTCCTCTCAACTCCTCAGCTCCTCTCAGCTCCTCTCCGTTCTTTAGCTCCTCAGCTCCTCTCCGCTCCTCTCAGCTCCTCTCAGCTCCTCAGCTCCTCAGCTCCTCTCCGCTCCTCTCAGCTCCTCTCACCTCCTCAGCTCCTCTAAGTTCCTCTCCGTTCCTTAGCTCCTCAGCTCCTCTCAGCTCCTCAGCTCCTCAGCTCCTCTCCGCTCTTCTCAGCTCCTCTCAGCTCTTCTTAGCTCCTCTCAGCTCCTCTCCGTTCTTTAGCTCCTCAGCTCCTCTCCGCTCCTCTCAGCTCCTCTCAGCTCCTCAGCTCCTCAGCTCCTCTCCGCTCCTCTCAGCTCCTCTCACCTCCTCAGCTCCTCTAAGTTCCTCTCCGTTCCTCTCAGCTCCTCTCACCTCCTCAGCTCCTCAGCTCCTCTAAGTTCCTCTCAGCTCCTCTAAGTTCCTCTCACCTCCTCAGCTCCTCTCAACTCCTCAGCTCCTCTCAGCTCCTCTCCGTTCCTTAGCTCCTCAGCTCCTCTAAGTTCCTCTCAGCTCTTCTTAGCTCCTCTCACCTCCTCAGCTCCTCTCAGCTCCTCTCAGCTCCACTCAGCTCCTCTCAGCTCCTCTCAGCTCCTCTCAGCTCTTCTCAGCTCCTCTCAGCTCCTCTCAGCTCTTCTCTTAGCTCCTCTTAGCTCCTCTCAGCTCCTCTCAGCTCCTCTCACCTCCTCAACTCCTCTTAGCTCCTCTTAGCTCCTCTCAGCTCCTCTCAGCTCTTCTCTTAGCTCCTCTTAGCTCCTCTCAGCTCCTCTCAGCTCCTCTCAGCTCTTCTCTTAGCTCCTCTTAGCTCCTCTCAGCTCCTCTCAGCTCCTCTCACCTCCTCAACTCCTCTTAGCTCCTCTTAGCTCCTCTCAGCTCCTCTCAGCTCCTCTCACCTCCTCAACTCCTCTCAGCTCTTCTTAGCTCCTCTCCGCTCCTCTCAGCTCCTCTCACCTCCTCAGCTCCTCTTAGCTCCTCTCAGCTCCTCTCAGCTCTTCTCACCTCCTCAACTCCTCTCAGCTCTTCTTAGCTCCTCTCCGCTCCTCTCAGCTCCTCTCACCTCCTCAGCTCCTCTAAGTTCCTCTCCGCTCTTCTCAGCTCCTCTCAACTCCTCAGCTCCTCTCAGCTCCTCTCCGTTCTTTAGCTCCTCAGTTCCTCTCAGCTCTTCTTAGCTCCTCTCAGCTCCTCAGCTCCTCTCAGCTCCTCTCAGCTCCTCTCAGCTCCTCTCAGCTCCTCAGCTCCTCAGCTCCTCTCCGCTCCTCTCAGCTCCTCTCACCTCCTCAGCTCCTCTCAGCTCCTCTCCGTTCTTTAGCTCCTCAGCTCCTCTCAGCTCCTCAGCTCCTCTAAGTTCCTCTCCACTCCTCTCAGCTCCTCTCACCTCCTCAGCTCCTCTCACCTCCTCAGCTCCTCTCACCTCCTCAGCTCCTCTAAGTCCTCTCCGCTCTTCTCAGCTCCTCTCAGCTCCTCTCAGCTCTTCTCAGCTCCTCTCAGCTCTTCTCAGCTCCTCTCACCTCCTCAGCTCCTCTCACCTCCTCAGCTCCTCTAAGTTCCTCTCCGCTCTTCTCAGCTCCTCTCAGCTCTTCTCAGCTCCTCTCACCTCCTCAGCTCCTCTAAGTTCCTCTCAGCTCTTCTCAGCTCCTCTCAGTTCCTCTCAGCTCCTCTCAGCTCCTCTCACCTCCTCAGCTCCTCTCACCTCCTCAGCTCCTCTAAGCTCCTCTCAGCTCCTCTCCGTTCTTTAGCTCCTCAGCTCCTCTCAGCTCCTCAGCTCCTCTAAGTTCCTCTCCACTCCTCTCAGCTCCTCTCACCTCCTCAGCTCCTCTCACCTCCTCAGCTCCTCTCACCTCCTCAGCTCCTCTAAGTTCCTCTCCGCTCTTCTCAGCTCCTCTCAGCTCCTCTCAGCTCTTCTCAGCTCCTCTCAGCTCCTCTCAGCTCTTCTCAGCTCCTCTCACCTCCTCAGCTCCTCTCAGCTCCTCTCCGTTCCTTAGCTCCTCAGCTCCTCTCAGCTCTTCTTAGCTCCTCTCACCTCCTCAGCTCCTCTCAGGTCCTCTCAGCTCCTCTCCGTTCCTTAGCTCCTCAGTTCCTCTCCGCTCTTCTCAGCTCCTCTCAGCTCCTCTCAGCTCCTCTCCGTTCCTTAGCTCCTCAGCTCCTCTCAGCTCTTCTTAGCTCCTCTCACCTCCTCAGCTCCTCTCAGGTCCTCTCAGCTCCTCTCCGTTCCTTAGCTCCTCAGTTCCTCTCCGCTCTTCTCAGCTCCTCTCAGCTCCTCTCAGCTCCTCTCCGTTCCTTAGCTCCTCAGCTCCTCTCAGCTCTTCTTAGCTCCTCTCACCTCCTCAGCTCCTCTAAGTTCCTCTCCACTCCTCTCAGCTCCTCTCACCTCCTCAGCTCCTCTCACCTCCTCAGCTCCTCTCACCTCCTCAGCTCCTCTAAGTTCCTCTCCGCTCTTCTCAGCTCCTCTCAGCTCCTCTCAGCTCCTCTCAGCTCCTCTCCGTTCCTTAGCTCCTCAGCTCCTCTCAGCTCTTCTTAGCTCCTCTCACCTCCTCAGCTCCTCTAAGTTCCTCTCAGCTCCTCTCCGTTCCTTAGCTCCTCAGTTCCTCTCCGCTCTTCTCAGCTCCTCTCAGCTCCTCTCAGCTCCTCTCCGTTCCTTAGCTCCTCAGCTCCTCTCAGCTCTTCTTAGCTCCTCTCACCTCCTCAGCTCCTCTAAGTTCCTCTCCACTCCTCTCAGCTCCTCTCACCTCCTCAGCTCCTCTCACCTCCTCAGCTCCTCTCACCTCCTCAGCTCCTCTAAGTTCCTCTCCGCTCTTCTCAGCTCCTCTCAGCTCCTCTCAGCTCTTCTCAGCTCCTCTCAGCTCCTCTCAGCTCTTCTCAGCTCCTCTCACCTCCTCAGCTCCTCTCAGCTCCTCTCCGTTCCTTAGCTCCTCAGCTCCTCTCAGCTCTTCTTAGCTCCTCTCACCTCCTCAGCTCCTCTCAGGTCCTCTCAGCTCCTCTCCGTTCCTTAGCTCCTCAGTTCCTCTCCGCTCTTCTCAGCTCCTCTCAGCTCCTCTCAGCTCCTCTCCGTTCCTTAGCTCCTCAGCTCCTCTCAGCTCTTCTTAGCTCCTCTCACCTCCTCAGCTCCTCTAAGTTCCTCTCAGCTCTTCTCAGCTCCTCTCAGCTCCTCTCAGCTCCTCTCCGTTCCTTAGCTCCTCAGCTCCTCTCAGCTCTTCTTAGCTCCTCTCACCTCCTCAGCTCCTCTCAGCTCCTCTCTGCTCCTCAGCTCAGGCCTTTGGGGAAGCAAGCAGGGAAACAAAGAGCTTCTGTTCTCCTCCAGAAAAGAAAACATTTTTCTTCTTCTTCTTCTGTTCAGAGGAGAAGCTGAATAAATCTGAGAGCTTCTCATTCCTCCTGCTTTATCTGCAGCCATTCATCAGATTTCCAGGCAGCGATCTGAGCTCAAACATGTAGATGAATCTGTTCTATCTGCTTTACTGGGAACCAGCCATTCGTCAGTTTAAAAACAACTTTTAAAAAACTTTAATGATGTTTTCACTGCAAAACAATGACCTTAAATAACCTTAAATTACCTTAAAATAACCTGAAATAACCTTAAATGAGCTTAAAATTACCTTAAACGACCTTGAATGACATCAAATGAGCAACCTGAAACAACCTTAAATAACCTCAAATTACCTTAAAATAACCTAAAACAACCTTAAATAACCTTACATGAGCTTAAAATAACCTTAAATGACCTGAAATAACCTTAAAATACCATAAAATGACTTTAAATAATCTTAAATTACCTTAAACGACTTTGAATAACATAAAATTAGCTTTAAATGACCCTAAACGGCCTTAAATTACCTTGACATAACCTTAAACAACCTTAAATAACCTTACATGAGCTTAAAATAACCTTAAATTACCTTGAAATAACCTTAAACGACCTTAATAAACCTTAAATTAACTTAAATAACCTTAAATGACCTTGAATAACCTTAAACGACCTTAATAAACCTTAGATTAACTTGAATAACCCTAAATAACCTTGAATAACCTTAAATGAGCTTAAACGACCTTAAATGTCTTTAAATAACCTTAAATTACCTTAAACGACCTTGAGTGACCTTAAACGGCCTTAATTAACCTGAAATTACCTTAAAATAACCTTAAACAACCTTAAATAACTTTAAACAACCTTAAATTTCCGTAAAACAACCTTGAATAACCTTAAATGACTTTAAATAACCTTAAATTAAAACCTTAAATAACGTGAAGCGACCTCAGATGACACAGCCACCCATTACTGCTGCTAAAGCTTTTATTTTAATTGTAATATTTATCACCTTAAACCTGAAAGTTTTTTAATGGATTTTATTTTCTAAACCAACTGATTAGCTGGACTTTGACTAGACCAACCCCCGCCATCGTATCTCTGCCGTATGTTCGGTCTCATTGACCTGCAGGAATTGGACCCTCAACCAAACTCTAATGACCTCTAATGACCTCTGAGCCCCCCTGGCCCAGCATGACGCTGCCACCACCGTGTCTATGGAACGTTTTGTTCAGGATGACGTTCAGCGTTGCTTTGATAACAGATAAAGTTTTATTTTTTTTCCTGATTCCAAACTTCTTGATCTGATCACATTAAGCTCAGTTAACAATAAATAAAGTGAGGCACTGCGGGAACTAGAGCATTAATGGAACGTCAGCCTCTTAACGCTTCTGATCGCGGTGGGCGGGGCTAAGCTTCAATGCTGGGAGGTCTCTGGTTCAAATCTCAGCTGGAGTCTTTGTGCATGAAGTTGGCATGTTCCTTCTATTCAGACCAAAACATGCCTTTTAGATTAATTGGCCACTTCAAATTGTCCTTTTGTGTGCCCCCCCACCCCCTCCCACAGTGGGTCATTCTGACCCGGCCCTCCGGCGTCTCCTTCAACTGACGGATTAATCACTTTACTAAAGTTGCTGTTATAACAGTAAACTGTTTTTCTTGGGTAGTTTTTCTTGTTCACTTATTCGTGTTGACCAGTAGGTGGCGGTACCTCTGCTGGCCTGTTCATACTACAATTTCAGTCTGGTTTGAGTCAAAGCTCCCCTACTGGGAACCAGTTAAACCATTGAAATGCCATCACAGATCGAAACAACAACTCCCATATCCTTTTTCCTCGTCTTTGACGCAACTCTGTTTCTTCTTCTGCTCCCCAGATGATCTGGTCACGTCCAAATCCAGCCTGTTCTTCCTGATTTCTAATGAGGGCAACCAGAACCTCCACGTGACCCAGGCCACCCTCTGGCTCTACTTCAAGCTGCTGCCGTCCCCCGGCGAGGTGCGCGGGAAGAGGAAGGCGACGGTGAAGGTGTACTACCAGGAGCCGGGCCTGGGCAGCAGGTGGGACCTGGTGGAGAAGAGGGTGGAGCTGCGGCGCAGCGGCTGGCACACCTTCTCGCTCACGGACGCCGTCCGGTTGGCGTTTGAAAAGAGTGACAACCGGCGGCAGAACCTGGACATTCGCTGCGAAGGCTGCGAGGCGGAGGGTGTGGTGCCGGTCCTGATGAACCTCAAAGACGAGTCCCACCGGCCCTTCCTGGTGGTGCGGGCCAGGCAGGCCGACAGCAAGCACCGCATCCGCAAGCGGGGGCTGGAGTGCGACGGCAGCAGCCAGCTGTGCTGCCGGCAGCAGTTCTACATAGACTTCCGGGTGATCGGCTGGAACGACTGGATCATCGCGCCGTCGGGATACTTTGGGAACTACTGTGAGGGGAACTGCCCGGCCTACATGGCGGGCGTCCCCGGCTCCGCCTCTTCCTTTCACACGGCCGTGGTGAACCAGTACCGCATGAGGGGGATGAGCCCCGGCTCCATGAACTCCTGCTGCATCCCCACCAAGCTCAGCACCATGTCCATGCTGTACTTCGACGACGAGTACAACATCGTGAAGCGCGACGTCCCCAACATGATCGTGGACGAGTGCGGCTGCGCTTGACTCTTTGCTTCCTGTCTATTTAACTCAAGAACTCGGCAGATTAACGACTTTTACAACGAAAAAGTGAATATAAAAACAGAATATTTATGAAGACCGGAGAAAACACAAACTCGCATGTATGTCTGCACAAAACCCTGTATATATATTTATGTTTGTTGCTCCACTTTCTGTCCGATCTTCCAAAATCTGCTCCGCTTGGCAAACAATCGACTCCAGCCGGTCCTCACTAGATATCTCCAAGATTGTGAGGACAGTGTTGGTACATCCAGCCTTGTTCACAGCAGTATATTTAAGTTGTATGAATCAAGGGAAACTTCTCCACAGGAAGAGTGGAGAGCCTTAAGTGAGTCCCATTCGTTCCTCTCTACATGGAACACACACTGACGGTGCAAGTTCTGCCAACCTACAGCACTTCTGGCCTTAAGTTCTTCTATTACGCCACAGAAACTGGACATCCGGTCCAACAGGACCACCGACTCTAACTCTAGATATCTGTCCACAAAATCCTCCTCCAGAGAGCAGGAGTCAGAGAGGAGACACCAGAGGTCAGAGGTAGAGTCCAACCGACGCTGGCGAGGAGATCCTGACAATCGAGAGGTTCCCGCGCACCTAAAAGTTGCCCGAACCTCTCAAGGTTAGATGAAATACGGCATTTATTTCTCTGAAATTAAGAATTTGAAGATGTAATCTTACTTCTCAACATTGGCATTGTCAACCTACCTGGTTATCTTGATATGTTGTCATCGTTGACCTGAATGTCTACGCTTTGGTGTTCGTCGGTCTTTTACTGACCTGCCGCTGACTAAAAGTCAGGAGGTTCATGTTCTTGGAGTGGATGACTTTAAGGACTCTCCCATCAGTAAACACCTGTAGAAATTATATTTTCTTGCACTTAAAACATAAAACAAAGTTGTGGCCAAAATTTTCACCTTTAATGTTCCAAACATCTCTGTCCAACTGGTAGATTCATGTCCTCACGTTCAGCACTTATAGACATCTGGGGAACTTCCTGGTTCACTTTCTTTGCCAGCATCGTTAGAAGTTGCCATATTCAGGACACCCCCCCGCCCCCCCATGCACACGTTTGAAGCACTTGCTGATTGATTTGCCTTTATGGAGCCCAGAGTAGCCCTTCATCACCAGACACTGTCCCCTTTGAAAGTGCCGCATGAGCTATGCAAAATGTAAAAGGTACCCATATGATCAACGAGCTCAACTGAAAAGGTGACAAACTTCCACCCTGTACTTGAAATGTGGGCGGAGGCGGGTCGGCTGCAGGCTGGAGGGTCTGGACAAAAACACAGGACATGTTTCTGAGGAGTATTCCCGGGCTGGAGGTGTCGTTAGTCACCTACAACCTGATGCTAGGTTCAATTTACATTTGAGGAAGTTTAATCAATGAATCAGCAACTAAACAGGACTTTAATGAAGAGAAACACATTATGTCCCATAACTTAGTAGGGTTCAAATGAACAAATTGTTTATTTTAGGGTATAATTGTTGTCTGTAGCTAATTGGCTGGTTTTCCTCCTGGTCTATGGTGTCCAGAGGTGGGTACAAAAATATTACTTTTAGGAGTAATTTTAATGTGTCATACTTCTTACTTTTACCTGAGTAATACTCTTGTTAAGTATTGTTACTCCTACTTGAGTATATTTTCTGACTACCCTATAATCAGTGACAATGGCGCAACCAGGGGTTGGCCACGGCCACCACTGGCCACCCCACTGGTCGCCCCACTGACCGCCCCACTGGCCACCCCACTGGTCGCCCCACTGACCGCCCCACTGGCCACCCCACTGGTTGTCCCACTGGCCGCCCCACTGACCACCCCACTGGTTGTCCCATCCCCACTGGCCGCCCCACTGGCCACCCCACTGGTCGCCCCACTGACCGCCCACTGGCCACCCCATGGTCGCCACCCACTGACAGCCCCCACTGCCACACTGACCGCCCCACTGGTCCCCCACTGGCCACCCCACTGGCCAACCCCACTGGTCGCCCACTGACCGCCCCACTGGACGCCCCACTGACCCCCACTGGCCGCCCCACTGGCCCCACTGGTGCCCCACTGCCGCCCACTGGACCCCCACTGGTCCCACTGGCCGCCCCACTGGCCCCCCACTGGTGTCCCACTGCGCCCCACTGACACCCCACTGGCCACCACCCACTGGTCACCCCACTGACCGCCCACTGGCCACCCCACTGGTGCCCACTGTGCCCCATGCCGCCCCACTGCCACCCACTGCCCGCCACTGACCGCCCCACTGCCACCCCACTGGTGCCCCACTGGTGCCCCATGGTCGCCCCTGCGCCCCACTGACCGCCCCACTGGCCACCCCACTGGTCGCCCACTGACCACCCACTGACCACCCACTGCCCCCATGACAGCCCCACTGGTCGCCCCACTGACCGCCCCACTGACCACCCACTGGTCGCCCCCCACTGCCACCCCATGGTCGCCCCCACTGACCGCCCACTGGCCACCCCACTGTCGCCCCATGACCGCCCACTGCCACCCCACTGCCCCCACTGCCCCCACTGCGCCCCATGACCCCCACTGGTCGCCCCACTGACCGCCCACTGCCACCCACTGCCCCCACTGCGCCCACGGTCGCCCCACTGACCCCCACTGGCCACCCCACTGGTCGCCCCACTGACCGCCCCACTGACCGCCCCACTGGGCCCCCCACTGACCGACCCCACTGACGCCCCATGCCCCCCACTGGGCGCCCCACTGACCCCCACTGGTCGCCCCACTGCGCCCACTGCCCCCACTGGTCGCCCATGACCGCCCCACCGCCCCACTGCCACTCCCCACTGCCCCCCACTGACCGCCCCATGTCGCCCACTGACCCCCCACTGACCACCCACTGGTCGCCCCACTGACCCCCCACGGTCGCCCCACTGACCGCCCACTGCACCCCCTGACACCCCACTGGTCGCCCCATGCCGCCCCACTGACCGCCCCACTGACCACCCCACTGGTCGCCCCACTGACCGCCCCACTGAACCCACGCCCCACTGACCACCCCATGACCCCACTGACACCCAAATGACCAACGACCCACTGGTCGCCCCACTGACCGCCCACTGACCCCCCACTGACCACCCCACTGACCGCCCCACTGCCGCCCCACTGGCCAAGGGCCCCACTGACCGCCCCACTGCGGGTACGGAGCTGGCGCCCCCGACCCATGACCACCCCACTGACCCCCCACTGACCCCCCACTGACGCCCCACTGACCGCCCCACTGCACCCCCGGTCGCCCCACTGGACCGCCCCCCACTGACCACCCCACTGGTACTGCCCCACTGACCGCCCCATGACCCCCCACTGACCGCCCCACTGGCCATGCCACCCCACTGGTCGCCCCACTGACCGCCCCACTGGCCACCCCACTGGTCGCCCCACTGACCGCCCCACTGCCACCCACTGGTGCCCACTGGCCGCCCCACTGACCACCCCACTGGTTGTCCCACTGGCCGCCCCACTGGCCACCCCACTGACCGCCCCACTGGCCACCCCACTGGTTGTCCCACTGGTTGTCCCACTGGCCGCCCCACTGGCCACCCCACTGGTTGTCCCACTGGTCGCCCCACTGACCGCCCCACTGGCCACCCCACTGGTCGCCCCACTGACCGCCCCACTGGTCGCCCCACTGACCGCCCCACTGGCCAACCCACTGGTCGCCCCACTGACCGCCCCACTGGCCACCCCACTGGTCGCCCCACTGACCGCCCCACTGGTTGTCCCACTGGCCGCCCCACTGGTCGCCCCACTGACCGCCCCACTGGCCACCCCACTGGTCGCCCCACTGACCGCCCCACTGACCGCCCCACTGGTCGCCCCACTGACCGCCCCACTGGCCACCCCACTGGTCGCCCCACTGACCGCCCCACTGGCCACCCCACTGGTCGCCCCACTGACCGCCCCACTGGCCACCCCACTGGTCGCCCCACTGACCGCCCCACTTGCCACCCCACTGGTTGTCCCACTGGCCGCCCCACTGGCCACCCCACTGGTTGTCCCACTGGTGGTCCCACTGGCCACCCCACTGGTTGTCCCACTGGCCACCCCACTGGTTGTCCCACTGGTTGTCCCACTGACCGCCCCACTGACCGCCCCACTGGCTGTCCCACTGGCCGCCCCACTGGCCACCCCACTGGTTGTCCCACTGGTTGTCCCACTGGTTGTCCCACTGGTTGTCCCACTGGCCGCCCCACTGGTTGTCCCACTGGTGGTCCCACTGGCCACCCCACTGGTTGTCCCACTGGTTGTCCCACTGGCCACCCCACTGGTTGTCCCACTGGTGGTCCCACTGGCCACCCCACTGGTTGTCCCACTGGTTGTCCCACTGGCCGCCCCACTGGCCACCCCACTGGTTGTCCCACTGGTCGCCCCACTGACCGCCCCACTGGCCACCCCACTGGTCGCCCCACTGACCGCCCCACTGGCCACCCCACTGGTTGTCCCACTGGCCGCCCCACTGACCACCCCACTGGTTGTCCCACTGGCCGCCCCACTGGCCACCCCACTGGTTGTCCCACTGGTCGCCCCACTGACCGCCCCACTGGCCACCCCACTGGTCACCCCACTGACCGCCCCACTGGCCACCCCACTGGTTGTCCCACTGGTTGTCCCACTGGCCGCCCCACTGGCCACCCCACTGGTTGTCCCACTGGTCGCCCCACTGGTCGCCCCACTGACCGCCCCACTGGTCGCCCCACTGACCACCCCACTGGCCACCCCACTGGTCGCCCCACTGACCGCCCCACTGGCCACCCCACTGGTCGCCCCACTGACCGCCCCACTGACCACCCCACTGGTCGCCCCACTGACCGCCCCACTGGTCACCCCACTGACCGCCCCACTGACCACCCCACTGGTCGCCCCACTGACCGCCCCACTGGTCGCCCCACTGGCCGCCCCACTGGCCACCCCACTGGTCGCCCCACTGACCGCCCCACTGACCGCCCCACTGACCGCCCCACTGACCGCCCCACTGGCCACCCCACTGGTTGCCCCACTGGCCGCCCCACTGACCACCCCACTGGTTGTCCCACTGGCCGCCCCACTGGCCACCCCACTGGTTGTCCCACTGGTCGCCCCACTGACCGCCCCACTGGCCACCCCACTGGTCACCCCACTGACCGCCCCACTGGCCACCCCACTGGTCGCCCCACTGACCGCCCCACTGGCCACCCCACTGGTTGTCCCACTGGTTGTCCCACTGGTTGTCCCACTGGCCGCCCCACTGGCCACCCCACTGGTCACCCCCACTGACCGCCCCACTGGCCACCCCACTGGTTGTCCCACTGGTTGTCCCACTGGTCGCCCCACTGGTCGCCCCACTGGCCACCCCACTGGTCGCCCCACTGACCGCCCCACTGACCACCCCACTGGTCGCCCCACTGACCGCCCCACTGGTCGCCCCACTGACCGCCCCACTGACCACCCCACTGGTCGCCCCACTGGCCACCCCACTGGTCGCCCCACTGACCGCCCCACTGGCCACCCCACTGGTCGCCCCACTGACCGCCCCACTGGCCACCCCACTGGTCGCCCCACTGGCCACCCCACTGGTCGCCCCACTGACCGCCCCACTGGTCGCCCCACTGACCGCCCCACTGGCCACCCCACTGGTCGCCCCACTGACCGCCCCACTGGTCGCCCCACTGACCGCCCCACTGGCCACCCCACTGGTCGCCCCACTGACCGCCCCACTGGCCGCCCCACTGGTCGCCCCACTGGCCGCCCCACTGGTCGCCCCACTGGCCGCCCCACTGGTCGCCCCACTGACCGCCCCACTGGTCGCCCCACTGGTCGCCCCACTGGTCGCCCCACTGGTCGCCCCACTGACCGCCCCACTGGTCACCCCACTGGCCACCCCACTGGTCGCCCCACTGACCGCCCCACTGGTCGCCCCACTGACCGCCCCACTGGCCACCCGACTGGTCGCCCCACTGACCGCCCCACTGGTCGCCCCACTGACCGCCCCACTGGTCGCCCCACTGACCGCCCCACTGGTCGCCCCACTGACCGCCCCACTGGCCACCCGATTGGTCGCCCCACTGACCACCCCACTGGTCGCCCCACTGACCGCCCCACTGACCACCCCACTGGTCGCCCCACTGACCACCCCACTGGTCACCCCACTGACCGCCCCACTGACCGCCCCACTGACCGCCCCACTGGTCGCCCCACTGACCGCCCCACTGACCGCCCCACTGACCACCCCACTGACCGCCCCACTGACCGCCCCACTGACCACCCCACTGGTCGCCCCACTGACCGCCCCACTGACCACCCCACTGGTCGCCCCACTGACCGCCCCACTGACCGCCCCACTGACCACCCCACTGACCGCCCCACTGACCACCCCACTGACCGCCCCACTGACCGCCCCACTGACCACCCCACTGACCGCCCCAC